GTACAGGTAACAAAAAAAAAAGCCAATGCCGATAGAGATATGTTAAGAGAGCACAATGTACCTAGCAAAGCATCAAAACTCACAGTGTTAAAGGCGTTGCTAAAGTCAAGTAAAGCAAAGACCATTAGCTTTTCTTCGTAAAAAAGAAAGATAGATATGGGACGGTAATCGGAGAAGGAGGACGGATTACATTTTTGGGGAGAGGAATAATTTAAGCCATTTTTCATACAGATGGAAAAACGTAGACGGATGTGGAATAGTTGAGCAAATTACAGGTAGGATCTCATCCAAGATAGGAAGAACCATATTACTGCTAATACTGTCGCTACGGATTATTTGTTATTTTATTAATTATTGACATAATGCTCATATTTACATCACATGCAGCAAATTGGCTAAGAAAGAATGGGGAACAGTCGGCAGAGGAGAAAGATAATTCAGCTTCGCAGTCTTGCTAGCTCGTATTTTTCTGATATGATCTGATTTGATTGATCTGAAAAATATGAATTCATTGAACCAATATCAACATCTTTTGAAGCACAATTACCTGCCGATTCCCAACGACTTTCCAAACCTTAACTGGGTCACCAATTTCAACCGATTTGTGGATAATTCGGCGCTGAGCATTCCTGCACATCTTATTGCAGTGATTTCTAATAAGCACAATTTTATTCCACTTTGATGTTATGGGGTAACTTGTTGTGTATTGTTTGTCAAGTTTTCCTTCTCTTTGCAGTTCTGTTGTCCCTTTCCTTTAGTAGGCTCTTACGACACCCACTTGATGTATAAGGATGGTGACACTCCGTCTTCTTAATTCGTAACACGGACAGTCCGTGTGGTGACGGATTAAGAATACAGAGTGTCACCACCCCTATTCATCCCGTGGGTGTCGTAAGAGCCGACTAAGGGAAAAAACTACGTAGAATAACAACACTGGAGAGAGAAGGAAAACTTGATACAAACCCTATACCAACCCGTCTGGCCAGTGTGGTATAGTAGGCCAAAACCTCCTTTCTAAGGAGAGGCCTATGTCCAGCAGTGGACTTTTAAAGGCTGTTGATGTGATGATGATGTGAACACGGACAGAATATTTAGGTAAACACAGGTTAATATTTTTGATACTATTTTAAAAATACATCTAATAGTATACGATTATAGATTTTGAGTTTTTGTTATATTATAGCAGTCTTTGCCATCAATATTTCAGTGAAGGAGCCATGCTTCGGCGCGTATGGGTCGGTCCATAGTGCAGTCCGCAGTCCAGCCATAGTGGATTTACGAATAATCGCTGTGAAAATTTATTATTCTTATATTACTTTTCACCGAGTGAGTGAGGTTTTCGGACGCCAAACCTCCTAATTATGGGGTAGGAGTGGAAACACTCAAAGGGCGGTAACCCACTTGTGTCTTTTAAAGCTCAGATCAAATAAAAAAGTTAAGGAGGTACTCTGTGAACAAAGAAGTGAGGCCTATTACAACTACGCTTAGACGTGTACATACACAATAATACGCACACACGTACAACGAAACTACGCCTTGTCAGTCAAAATGTCAACAATATTTACAGGTAAAAATGCCGTCACGGGAGAGGGTCGTCTACTCGTCTGTAGATGGCCCGAGGTATGTCGGGGCACCAGGGACTTTCTTTCTAGGGTATACCTAGTTCCCCGGCTATTAGTACCCGAGACGGCGTCCGTCATGCCACCGATAGGTGATATCCGAGGGGATATCCGCACGGAAAAATAAAAAAAAAAGTAAAAATGCCGAATTGTGTTGTGACAGTGTAAAAATCAAACTACAACAGGTAGTAGAAGGGAATGGCATGTCACACATTAATAAGAGTAGAAACCAATATTTTCAATAAAATCAAATTAGGATGGCAGCACAAGCCCACGCACACATGTTTATAAAACCGGCGTCACTTCGTTCTTCGCAAAGTTCCATCGAAACTTTTTTATTTGTTCTGGGTCTTAAAGTGACTTATCATCTGGTGACCCGCCTGCACGTTTTACCCCTTTTTTTTTTTTTTTTTTTCCGTGCGGAAATCCCCTCGGATACCACATGTCGGTGGCATGTCGGACTCGAACCGACTAAAACCGCACGCCGTCTCGGGTACTAATAGCCGGGGAACCAGGTATACCCTAGAAAGGAAGTCCCTGGTGCCCCGACATATACCTAACATCAGATTTTTATTTCAAATCAACAGCTTCATTTTCTATTACAATTTTTATCCTCATTACTTGTAAATATACCACTTTTATATATTTAAACTACTTTTACTCTTTATATGATCGACGTAACACCACAATATTATGATTATCACATGCCATATTCTTCCATTGTCTTCCATTACATTGACGCCATTGACATTCCCTGTAATAAAATGGCAGCCGACCATTGTCATTGTATTTCTGTAAAATATCACAATGCAATAGTCCATAATGGTATTGCAAAAATTGGAACGCGTGATACAATGTACGAACTCAAGCCAAAAGTATAATACACAATTGTTATAGCCTCATTAATCCGTATTATTTCATTGATACTAACTGCTAGCGAATTTCTAACTCAGTGTGCACTTTTAGCGACAAACTACGTCAGATAGCGCATTAATATTGTTGGAAGTAGCTGTACCCGAAATACATTTTATTACATAAGACATTTATGTCCTCTAATTTATGGGAAAAACAAAATATAAATACTAAAATACCACATTGTTTGAAAACAATCCAACCAGTTCCGACATCTAGCGGCGTATCTTTAAACTCGAGAAGCGAACACGTTCGGAAATTATACGATCGTTTTCCAAACTTACCGCTTACCTTGTTCTTCAAACTTTGAACTAGATGGCGTTAGTTATTTGTAAACGCTTAATACTTTGTTTATGTTATTTGCTTTTGTCTATTTTTATAACAGAGAATTTTATAAGTGGCCAAGATAGCTACGACGTACATGACAGGGTCCACGAGACCGTTTAGAATGCGATAATGGGCGATACACGCAGAGAGTTTTCCACGCATTTTCATTTATTGGTTTAAAGCTGCAATAATACGTAGTTTTTATTGTTTCTAATTTTATGGATGGGAAAGTTCCCAGTGGCTTAATGTTTTGAGAATACGATGTTCGTAATTTTTTCACTAAGAATGAGTTGTATCACTCAATATAATTTAAGACCGTATGATCAGTGTAATAAACTTACTGGCTGTGATGGTTGCTACTATCCACTAGTCCATTAGTCTTATAAGATTATCTGCGTGGATAAATTAATTGATTGATCAGATGAGTTACGTGTTCGTTGCAAAAATGAGTTTAAGAAATGTCTACTATGTAGCAATCACTGTACGACCGAGACTGATTTAAACGCTTACTCTTGCCGACTGTAATATTAGTCCCACTTATATACAGTGGGCAAATTTATTATCGTCACCGGACATATATATTTTCTAAATAAATTATTTATTATACATATATTTCTAAATACATACATATTATTATAGATAAATTGAAACCCAGACACAGAACAAATGATCTTGTTCATAACACAATATTTGCCTATGGTGGGTATCAAACCCACGGCCTCTGGCTTAGCAGTCAGGACTACCAGGCCACTACTAGACCAACAAGCCCGTCAACTTTATTATTGTATTTGATTTTTTATGATATCGGTAACAAACGAGCAGACTGGTCCCTTGATGGTAAGTGGCTAACACCGCCCGTGGACACTTGGATCATCAACGGCCTTTAATAGTCCACTGCTGGACATACGCCTCACCATATAAAGGAGGTTTTGGCCTACTATACCACACTGGCCACACGGGTTAGTATAGGAGTTGTTTCAACTTTTCCTTCTCTTTGCAGTACTGTTGTCCTGCTTAATTTGCTCCCTTAGTCGGCTACACCCACATTATGAATAACACTTGTGGGGTGGTGACAATCTGTATTCTTAATCCGTCACTGCAAAAACAAGTGTATATTTTATTGAAATTTCTGTACAATGTCTGTACTTGTTGCAATTTTCATACGCTCTCCTTAACAAGGAAGCTCAAGAGTATAACGACATACTAAAAACTAAGTAGTAACCACTCCATTTTCGTTCTGATATTATTCGGAATTTTATTTATTGTCTACTACCGTTATTAAAACATGATCTTTATGGTATGTAGATTTATGGTATGTGGATGTATGGTGGGTAAATGGTATTAGTTACGAAGTGTAGGTAGAGCTGCTTTTAATGTTTCTATTCAATTAACTCGACTTTATCTGCAGTCTGTCTGCAGATAAATTTTATAATCTTTATAATTTATGCAGTTAATAAAATAACACACGTGATAAAGTTTGCTGTTCGCGCGACTTGGAACAACACTCGCGTAAGAGTCACGAAAACACTCGCCAAATGCTAAAATAACATGGAACAGCTGGAGGTGTATACTTAAGTAAATACACACATTTACAAACAAAAGTTTTAGTATCTACACCGCGGTATCTGATTGGCGAAGTTAGCCGCAAACTATTTCCACGGGCTCTGATCAAATCCCGACATCATGATTACCATGAAAGACCATGAGATAGTCGCAAGATAAATTAAAACAATGGTGGTTTAAAGTTACAAAAGCCTTGTGCAAATGCATTTGAAATGCATCGGTAGTGAGCCATGACCATCACCAATCACGGATGTTACAGCTTGTCACCACATAGGTCAAGGAAGCGCCTAGGCGCTTGCGGGGCGGGCGGAACGCGCAGGGCGGGCGGACCATGTGGGCGGGACGCATTTGTTTACGGGCGGCAGTCCCGTGCCGAACCGCCGCCAGCGCCGGTCCGCCGCTGCGCGAGCGCAACCTATCCAGTTCACGGCCGCTCTATAACTGTACGGCTATTTCGGCGCATAATATACCACACGGTGCGGAGTAGTGTTCAGTTTCGCGCGGGCAGGTGCGCGGGCCGAGGTCGAATATGCCGCACCGAAGCAGCGAGCCTCCCGCCTGACCCATGCGAGCGCGGCCATGGAGCGCCGCCGCCGCCCAGCCCGCCTCGAGCCCGCGTCCGACCCCATGACGAAGGTGGTGCGGCGTCGTGACAAGCCGCGGGAACGCTGGCTCCTTACACGCAAGACATGGAAATATATGTCAGATGCGGGCCGCCGCCTCATCCCCGATGGAGCGCAAAACCGCGCCGAGGATGTTCCACGGCTCGAGGCTTACTTCCAGGAGGTGTGTGCCAAGGAGCCACGCTTCCTTCTTTGGCGCAAAAGTTCATATCCAGGAGCTTTACCTCGTCCTCGTCGTAAGAAACGTGCGCGCGGTGGTTCAGTGCGAGCACGTTCCCCCGCAGAAGAAGCACCCACAGCCCCAACACGCCCCACCGATTTGTTTATAAGCCACACCTCCGGTGGTCGCTTTGACATCGCGAAACTTCGGCGCGACTTTTTTGCCACACCGTTACCTACGGCACCGTCCCCAAAACTAAACTCGTTTGCTGGCCGCTCATCGGCACAATTGCAGCCGCCTGATTCTGTTGACTCGACTTGTCGAGCCCTTCCTGAAGAAGATGAAAGCTGTTTGGTTGATTTATTGCGCAAGTACCTGAAAGTTGAAGATGACTCCGGCCCTACTAGACTTTCGGATTCGGAAGAGTTGGTTCGATCGCTAAGAAAATATTTGAATCAACAATCGGAGCGGCTACCGACTGATTCTGATACAAATCCTACTCGTGATAGGACTCTTTTAGAGAACCTTAGCGGGTATTACATAAGATCTCCAAATAGGGACAACATAGTGCAGGATCTGTTGACAGATAGGAGTTTAATGAAAAGACTGTACCATGACCTACGTAAGGCAAAGCCATACAGAGGTGGTAGAAGTGGTGGTGGTGGTGGCGGTAGTGGCCCTAGCGGTTTTGGACCTAGTGGCTACCTTAGTGCCGTTAATACTAATAATTCTAGGAGTGTACCGCGGGGCCGAACTGTTACTCGTTTTAATGATAGTGAGGACTCTATGCGATCACCGCCGATGTCCCCACCCCCACTTATTGAAGTTTTTAACGAATCATTGGAGGACAAAATGGTAGATTGCGGAACGCAAACACACACAATTCCTGAGGAAATGTTAGCGGAGTTAGAGCGTGCGTATCGTGAAAAGTTGGAAGCGCAGACAGTGCCAACCAGCCCAACTGGACCTCCACCTGATAAATTAAAACCAGCGAGGAGACGATCGAGCGTGGACCACGATGACGTATCGCAGTCCGTCAGTGACACTATCAAGCGTTACCTGAGAATGGCGCGTAAAAAGAGCGTCGACGCTGATAAGGCGGACCGTTTCAAACGCATAAATTACGATAAGAATTTGCGAAACATAAAGCCTCGGATGCCGAGCGATGTTGACGATGACGGGCCCCACAAGGGTTGTCAAACAGAAGAGGGATGGATTTTGACGTACCGGGACTTACAATTTGCGTCTGTCGCGTCTACGCCGACCTCGCCCCCGTCGCCAGTGTCTCCTTCCGCGTCACATTCGTTTCTCTCGACGCTGCTTGGTCGAAATGCACCTGCAGTTGCTCCTCCTGCAGGTGGCATGCAGAAGTCGCGGTCTTCCAGCAGTGTGGTGCAGAGTGTGAGCAAGCGGCTCTGGCGCACGCGGAGCCGCAGCTCGTCGCGAGTCTCCGCCACATGGACACCTCAGGTCAGTCGCATTATAGTCTCTGTTGTATTACTCTTATTATATGTGCTGTGTATTTTTTTTTAATTGTGTATAATCTTACTTTTCTGACATACTGTTGCGATAGAAACTTTTGAAACCAATTTGAAGTGTTCATATGTTTTTATGATTCATATTAATTTATTTTAATGTAATTTTGGTTTTGAGTAGGTAGCCATCTCAAACTAAAAAGGTTTCATCCTATAATCATATCTAGGCGCATATTATCGTCAAAATATGTATGAATTTTATGGGCATTTGTTTTATTTATTCTGGCAACAATGTTTTTAAAATATCTACGTGTAATTCGGATCGCAAAACGTGTGCCTTAGAATTTGTTTGGCAATGCAAGAAACGGTCTTCATTAAAATTGTTGGAACTTTTAAATAATAGGTTATTCTTGAAACTGGCTTTAAAAACTTTTATTGCTTTTAAGCCATATTAGTAAGTAATTCTAAAATTTCAGCGATTACCTTTTGCCTACGCCCGCGTGCGTCTCGGTTATAGCGGTAAAAAGTAGTCTATAGCACTCAGAGATCATATACCTTTCTGACAGTGAAAGAAGCCCCTTCTTCCACAAAAAAAATCGGATCAGTGGTACCGGAGATTACCCCAAACATAAAAATTCACCAACTTTACCTCTAATGTTTACAAATTAATAGATCAATTTGCTGTCTTCAATACCATTGATCGGAACCCCTTCTCGGGTATAGGCCTCCTCCAGCTTTATCCAGACCTCTCTATCCTGAGCTTTCCATATCCAATTGCTGCCTGCTATCGCCCTTATATCATCTATCAACCTTTTTCTGGGGTGCCTTCTTCTCCTTTTCCATGTTGATACTTCAAAACACTTGTCTTTAATGTCCATCTTTTGTCTGTGTGTCTTGCTATGTGCCCTGCCCACCTCCACTTTAGTTTTAGAGCATACCGTAAAGCATCTATGACTTTTGTTTTTCGTCTTATATGTGCACTTTTAACTTTTTGAATTCTTCTTATTTTGAGAATACTCCTTTCCATTGATTTCTGGCATACCATTAGATAATAATAATAAAAAATAAACTCGCACATCTCACACACGGCTGTCTGATCCCAAACTAGGCAGAGCCTGTGCTATGATAACCAGACTGCTGATAAACATAGTTATATATATCTAAATACATACATATTATAGATAAATTACACCCAACACAGAACAAACGATCGTGCTCATCACACAATTTTTTGGCCTGGGTGGGAATCGAACCCACGACCTCCGGTTTAGCAGTCAGGGTCACTGACCACTAGACCAACAGGCCCCTCATCACATTGGTTTTTATTTTGGTGTTAAACGTCCAGGTTTGGCATCCGTACGTGAGAGTAGGCAAGACACAGCTATCTAAGACGGTTTTCTTTAGGTTTTTCTACTTCGAAAATCCCGTTTCATTATTTCCTTAATGGACCAGAACTTTTTCCAGCTGATATAGATCATTTTTATCTTCAAATGATATTTGTTTTCTTAGGTATACATAGTGGTTCACATACTCTAGGAGCTTCTCATTTAGGTTTATAGGAATTGTGTGGCTATTTGTCATTACTTTCGTTTTGTTTTCGTTCATTTCCAGTCCCGCTTTTTCGCTTTCTTTATTTTAAGTGTTTATCATTTTTTCTAGCCCATTACTTGTTTAAGAAAGTAACAAATCTGAGGTGAGTAAGTCCATCTCGGTTGATTCTAATTTCTTCCGACTGCCAGTTGATATTATCAAAAATTCGTTGCAATACTAGAATGAACAGCTTTGGCGAGAGAGGGTCTCCTTGCCTCACTCCTCTGCAGATTGGTATATCTGGGCCTCGTATTTCTAGTTTAACTTAGCTTACGCTATCCTCTTAATAATTTTTCAATACTCTTGTGTATTCTTCGTGTATGTGACATTTACGCACCGCTTCCCAAATAGCATCGTGAGAAATGGTATCGAACGCTTTGGAGTGATCAATAAAAGCAATGTATAGTGACCTGTTGAGCTCTTTATATTTCTCTAGCGTTTGTTGCACTGCATTGCTTGTATATGGTCCACTGTTGAAAATCCGAATAGTTTGTACAAACTTAAAAGAAGACTAATTGGGCGGTAATTAGCTATGTCTTGAGGGTCGCCTTACTTGTACAGAAGGATTACGTCGGACCTTTTCCATTGCTCTGGTACCTGACCCGTGTCGAGGACATTGTTGAATAAGTGCGCTAATATATGTCAGCACCGGCTTTTAGCATTTCATTTTGTATGCCATCAGGACTAGGGCTTTTATCTGTTCTGAGTTTTTAGATGTGTTTGGTGACTTCCCTGGAAACTACTAGTGGCGGATCGCTCGTGTCTGGAGAATTTCCCGTTGCATCTTCGGTTGTAGTGGTGCAAGAAGTAGGTTTTAATGCTTTTTTTTAAATAATTGCTTTTAGAAATCTGTATTGTATCTGTATTCATGACGTCTCGTCTAGGTTTGGTGTCGTAGTGTGTGTAGATTTTACTTTAAGGTTTTCAATCAAATTTTAGTGTGTGATCAACTCTTTGTAGGCTTTTTTCGAGATTCTGTAGTCTTTTAGGTTAGTCTGAATTATTTTGTTCCTATGGTCTTTGTAGTCTCTATCAATTAGTTTACTCGTGGCCTTACATATCGCCCTCCAGCAAATATGTAAATACGAGTACTATATTCTTCTCCAGCTCATCCAATCAACTTATCGGGTACTAGTTGCCCATTGGTCGAATTCCATGATTCGTTTAATCAAAAGATTCATGATATTCATCATATTTATTATAAATTTTATAATAATAAAAAAATTACAGTTTGACCATAGATTTTAGCCATATATAAAAGAATAATTATGATATGTATGTGTCTGTACCTATGGTGTGTGTCATTCAAACAGTAGTGTGTGTAATGTTTATTTTAATTAATTTAACGTATTTCTAAAGCATTTTATATTAAAAAATGCTTTACGCAGTTTCAGTATAAACTTTAATTTTCATAAAAAGGGGTACAAAATTTTCGATTCAATTATTAATATATAGGTACATATACACACATACATACATAATACACATTACTGCAAATTGCCTGATGATTTTGCATGTTCATAAATCGCTTCTAATGCGCGAATTTTGGTTGGAAGTGAGGGACGAAGACTAGAGCTTGTTGTAAGCCGGGTTCTCGGTTAGATTAAGTCACCAATATATATCCAAAATAGACATAATTAATTGAAATAAATCGATATAAACAGGATATAATAGCCTGCAATAAACACAATTCTTGTTGAGATTTACTTGTACTGTTAGTAATTTTTTGCACTCGCTGTAAAGTAGAACTAGATTGTATCTACTTCCTCCTGAACACGACTGAACACGTCTCATAGAAAGTTCCAAAGGGTTTGTGGACTCTCGAAAAAGCTCGTTAGAACTCAACTGACGCATTCCCTGGAAACTACTGGAATATACTGAAACTTTTTGAAAGAGTTGGACGTTAACCATATCACTCACCATTACCATATAAATACCAATATGATATAATTTTATAAGTTTCTCATCCAACTGATCTTTGTATAATCCAACCGATTCCAAGTGGCAACGAGTGTTGATGAAATATTGTTTGTCGAAATCTCTCTGTCGATAATAATTCATACCATTCTAAATTTTTTATAAGTCAGTAACATCAGTCAGGCAGTCGAATTGAATACTCAGTGATTCAATTCGATTGCGCGCATGGCGTAGTGATTTAAGCGATCGCCACGCCGCTTCCTACTACGCTGAGGCTCCCCACATGGGACGACACATTGTGTGATCCACAAATTGTTGTTCTAAGTCTGGGTGTTCTTTGAGTCCGTTTCATATATGTTTGTAAAGTCCCCCGCGACACAGGATACATTCCTAATGCGGGAGTTTTCTTTTAAAAAAAATGCCACATTGCATTATCTACCAGTCAACTTTAAGGTGGTTCAGTAAGGGACATGGCCGGTGCAATGAACAGTGAAGCTATGAACACAAATATAAAAACAACACTAAATAGTGCTATTTAAAAGTACCTACATATACGAATACATATTTATGTAATATACATACAGAATAAAATAAATACAATAATTTCTATAGAATAAATAAATACAATAATAGTATCTCAAGTGACGCGGTCATGAGGGTATTTCTGCTAGCTGTTTCTTATAAAGTTCTCAGACTTTGGCTTTAAACGTGTTAGGATTTGTTGACATCCTTATCTCAAGAGGTAACGCATTCCACAGTAGTATAGATTGGACAGTAGAAGAAGAATGGACAAGAGAAGAAGTGTGCATTGGACATAGGAGTAAAAGATTATTAGTTGAGCGAAGATCTTTGTCATGGTTGAAATCACTCCCACAAATTGTAGAAAAGCGATAGGAAAGATATAATACTTACCATAAAAAGCAATTTAAAAAATGATTTTTTGCGGTATACAGTAGGTATAACAATAAAAATAACATAAAAATTCTACATCGTAGAAAAAAAACTTGAGACGTTTAGTATAAATTAAATTTTCCAGCAACAACCGTGGACTCCAGTCAGGATGGATATAACATATATAAATTCTAACCTTAGGAACTGTCCAGTGAAACTAAACAATTGTTTAGGGGTGTCATCATCAATAGCCTTTACTAGTCCACTGCTGGACATAGGCCTCTCCTTAGAAAGAAGGATTTTGCCTACTATACTACGCTGACCAAACGTGAAACAAACCCTATACCAACCGGTATAGGGTTTGTTTCAAGTTATCCTTCTCCTTTGCAGTGCTGTTGTTCTGGATAGTTTTGTTCCTTTAGTCGGCTCTTACAACACCCTTGGGATGAATAGGGGTGGTGTCATTTCGTATTATTAATTTGATTGCATGGATGGCGTAGTATTTTAAGTGGTCGCCACGCCGCTTCCTACTACGCCGAGAGTTGTGTGTCCAAACTCCTCCTGTACGTTTTCTAATGCTTACTGACTCAGCAATAT